ACCTCCCAAAGTTACCAAACACGAAAGATATTTTCCTTCTACATTAATTTCTAAGCTAAGAGAGGTAGAGGAATTCTACCCTCGAGGAGAATTGAAAAGAAAACAGAAGTTCCACAACAAACTTGTCGGCCGCCATTTTCAGCCGTTTCCATGACTTCACCAACCTCATTCCCAGGGTCCTCTCTCTACCTCTACCCTTAGGTAGAGAGAGGACCCTGGGAACAAGGTTACGACTTCACTGGTTAGCCTGGTTACCTGGCCTGGTTACATAGCCGTTCGATCACGTGGAGAAACTTTCAAAATGGCGACTGTCGAAGAAGAAGTTGAGAGTGAAAAAGTTACTTTTGAATCCCTGGTAAGGGATACTAAGAGGTTCATATCAGTGTTTCTTAAGTTTCAATTGAAGCCCACTAATTTAATACTTTTTTTATCAGGGTGTGGTGGATGTTCTCTGCGAAGCATGCCAGCAACTTGGTTGGAAGTCGCCAACAAAAATTCAAAGGGAAGCTATCCCGGTCGCTTTGCAAGGTGAGAAATAGTGATATTTTGAAATAAATATGACAGCAAAACGAACAGAATTCTAGTGTCACTTTTCCTGATAACAACAGAATTTTTCGTAAATATTGGGAATGATAAAGTGTCACAATATAAGCTTACTTATCTACATGTAACTGCAAATATAATTTCTCATTCCCTTTATTTCTTTGTACTATAGTGGACGAAATTAATGTATTGTATCTATTAACCATTTACCATTGTTGCATGTTGGTAAGCAGACAGGTTTCAAGGATAAAGAAAATGTGCTGCCACACGTGACTACATGTGGATGTCTGCATGTACCACTACTGGTTGATAAAGTGTTAACATGTCAAACCATTTTATTCACAGGCAAAGATATTATTGGTTTAGCTGAAACAGGTTCAGGGAAGACAGGAGCTTTTGCTTTGCCAGTTCTTCAAACATTACTTGAAAATCCACAGAGACTATATGCACTTATTCTTACACCAACAAGGTCTGTTTATTTGATTTGCTAAAGATCTAATAAATTTTGAGAGACTTATTCTACCTGTCACCTCAATGTATTAAGATCACCAAGTTCTTAATACAGTCTTCCAAAGGTGATGATGGTAATGATAGCACATTTACGACAAACTGAAATGTACAGGTTCAAGTGTAAAGTAGGTTTGAAAAACTCAAGCCAGAAAACATGCAGGGACAGAACTCAGACCGGATCAGATCAGGTTTCTGACTTAAATAAGAATGACAACTATTCTAGAGCAAGGCATAAACAAAAGTGGCCATTTTTAATTAGATCAGCAATCCAAGTTGATCCTGTCTGAGTTTCGTACACGTGCATGCCAAAGGAGGGGATTTCACCAGCATGCATTGCCATCTTTCCTCTTTGTTGTCTCTTCACAACAGCCACATCTCTACAATGGTCACATTTTTATGTTCTGGCAGACGGTCCATACATTCACTCTTAATTTGACCTCTCTACAACTGCCACGTTTCCATAACAGCAACGACCACTAAAGCACGTCCTGACTGCCGAAATAGACCTCTCAATAATGGCCAGTTAATCAATTACTGACGAACTGAGCAGACAAAACCCAATGTTTTATTGTCAAAAGTCACAACACTTGATCTGCACCACACTTCATTGGTCTCTGTTTCTGTTTGGTTTCTGTTTTATTGATATTATATTTTGATTGTGTTACCTATTATATTCTATCAAAAACATTTTTTTTAGATAAAAATGTTGCACCCCCAGAACAAACAGGCGGTTTATTAATTTACAACCTTACCTCCCCATAATGGTCACCTCTCTACAAAGTCAATACTTTCCCCTGTCCCTGAGGTGGTTACTGTTAAGCAGTTCCGCTGCATTTCCCTTATTGTTCTTTACAATCTTTATAGAGGAAGAGAAATAAGGAGAAAAAAACTTGTCATTCAATAAAATCAATAATTTGTAGTGGTGCCAAGTTATTCTTGAGCCTACATTTAAAAATATAATAGCGTGAGAAGAGAAGAGTGTAATATAATTTTTTTGTTAGTGTATTTGATACAGAGAAAAGACCAGAAAAGGCATTTTCAAGGGGGCTTCAGGAGCTAAGTAGTTATGCTAAAATTGCTACCTTCTGTGTTTTATAGGGAACTGGCGTTTCAGATTTCTGAACAGTTTGAGGCATTAGGTTCAAGTATTGGGGTGAAGTGTGGTGAGTATCTTATTCACATGTAATGATTCCCTCTCTACTTGAAAACAGCTACTGGTATTAAATGGTGCTCTAATCAGGTTGTCGTTTCTGCAAATGCTTAATTTACTCTTAATTGCTCTCTACAGCTGTTATTGTTGGTGGAATAGATATGATGTCACAAGCACTCATGTTGTCCAAGAAGCCACATATTATTATAGGTAAGTACATGTAAAAGCTATAAAGAGCAATTTTTGTGTGTGTAAAATTGAACTATATGACCATTAGTATCCTGCTAGCACAAAAACTACAAGGCATATTTTCTTTCTGCATGAACTATGTGCCAAGGCACATTTTCCTTCTCTTAACATAGACACTGGCTTGAACTTTTGTCTGAAGATGTTAGTTTTGCAGTGCAAGCTATAACAAGTATTGAATTATCTTGAGTGTGTTAGAGTTGCTGTTTATCAATCATTCAATGGATAATCAATGGATGTATATGAATTTTATAAATTACAGCATCACCAGGAAGGCTCATAGATCACTTGGAAAACACAAAAGGATTCAATTTAAGAACATTAAAATATTTGGTGGGTAAATGTTGTTTTCTGGCAGTAACCTCTATTTATCAATACATGCTGACCTGTTTTTGCATGAACTCCCCAAATTTTTTAATGTTCCCTCTGATTTTTCCTGGTAACCTTGGCCCCCGTTGCCACCCCTGCCACCCCTGCCACTCTTGCCATCCTAGCCACCTTTACCACCCTAGCTGCTCTTGCCACCCTTGCCACCCCTGTCAGCCTCTCCACCCTCGCCACCCGTTTCACTCTCACCACCCTGGCCACCCTAATTCGCCACTTTCACCACTCTGGCCACTCCCACAACCCTCACCCCTCACCCCTCACCACCCACACCACCCTTGCTACCCTAATTTGTGGAAAATCATGCAATTTTAAACAACATCAACTCAAAATGTTACTTGGATCATTGTTTTTAAGATCATAGTTTATTTAACATCCTCAAGTAATAGTTTTGTGTGTGCTTTTAGCTATTAAATAAATATCTTTTCTATCAGTAAAACTTTTGTTCAATTTTCTAACTTAGAGAGGAAAATTTGTACACTAAAATTATGCAATAAAAATATTGGTCGCTGTGCTTGGTTAAGAGAAAATGAGCATTTATTTCTCTATCCCTGGTATGCGCAACGGCATGTTAATGACATTGCAAATGTTTGCACAAGGGATACTCAATGCAATTCAGTGGAATCACCTTGAAGAGAAATTAACAAGACAAAAGCGGGAAGCAATAAAAATGTTCATAGTATCTATGTTACAAATTAAATTAAAAAGTCACCTTCTATATTTTTATTATTCTGTTTCTGTATAGATTATGGATGAAGCTGATAGAATCTTAAATCTTGATTTTGAAAAAGAGGTGAGTTTTGTCAGCTTTTAATGCTCTGACAATTTTATTGCTTTTTCTTTGATTGAGCATTTTGCATATTAAGCCTTCAGGAAACAACCTTTTCATTCATGGCAGTCTGGTATTTGCCTGTAGTAAAATGATGGTACTTGATATGTTATGTAACCAAGGATTTTCTTTTATTGATTCTGTGATATGTTTTCTGTGGAAATGGTGGGTAAATTGGTCAGTTCACTTCAAACATTGCTGTAATTATACAGTTTTGGAGCCATTCTTGAATCAGTGTTAGTATTTTTCTTTCAAAAGAATCATATTTTTTCTTTTTGTGTACACCAACAACAACGACAACTTTTATTATTATGACTCACATATGACTTGTACAATTTTACAGAAATATATACACATTAAGTTAAAAAAGCTTGACAATAGCAACAGCACGAACCCACAGGCAGCCTGGGCTAATCTAGGTGGGCCACATATATATTTAATATTAGACTATTAATACAGAAATAAGATTGTTATGCAACTACTTATAGAAGGATTTCCAAAACTGTTTAATGCAAGTACATTTACATATTTTTATTGGTACTTGGAGCTATGATTTACTAGCTATGATTTACTGTAAAAAATCACTTCTTTATTAATATGTACTTTCACTTTTGCTGAACTACAGGTTGACAAGATATTAAAGATCATTCCCAAAGAAAGGAAAACTTATCTGTACTCGGCAACTATGACCAAAAAGGTGACATTTCTTTGTAGAATTTAGCATTGTGACCCGAAAGCTCTGTGTTAAATGTAATTTGTTTTGGGCCATATTAGAGCGACTATAATCCTTTTGGAATATCATGATCTGCATATCTCACCTCCAGAATGGTTGTCTTAAGTGCAGTAGAATAGTGAGCAGTTCTGAAAAATGTTATGGGTAACCAGTAGAATTTTGTTGTTGCAGATCAAAGGAATGTGAAAGCATGAATAAAGTAATTTATGCTTTCTCCCACTGTCACATTGAAGTACTATGAACTTAATAAAGAAACAAAAAAGAATGCCAATGACATCATTTATTTGTCTCTCCTCCAACAGCTCATAAAAAAGAACCAACCAAAATGCAAGAATAATTTGACTTATTATATCAATGTGAATACATGTAGTTACTATGAAGTAGTTTGAGACTTTCACCTTGCACTGTAACAATAACTTACAGACTGTGTTTGCAAGATGTTCAGTATATAGGATATTCCATCAATGTCTCTTTTTGAATGTTTTGTTTTCACAGGTAGAAAAACTTCAAAGAGCATCTTTACAAAATCCGGTTAAAGTTGAGGTTGCAACAAAGTGAGTTTTTTGACATTGTTTTTGTGCATGTAGTGAACATTCCATAGATGTACACCTGTAATAAAAACATCTCTGACTGATATTTTCTTGTGCCAGGTATACAACAGTTGATAAGTTACAACAGAGTTATCTATTTATCCCAAACAAATTTAAGGTAAGGAATGAATCTTTCCTTATTTCTGTAATATATAGGTTTAGGCAAGCTGTATACTTTGTCTTGACATGTGTCAACTGACCATAACACGGATGTCCAATATCAAAGAGGTACACTATAAACCAAGGCTGCATGTCTTGGTCAACCTATTGGGGTATGACCGCCATGTTGTGCGACTTCGTCGCTGTCATGGGTACATGCCCCCGAGCAATACTGCTAGCCATGATGACCGGGAGAAAAGCAATTCATGGGTTCCTATGAGTATGGTGCTCTGCATGGCGGTCCTTCTGCAGCCTTCGGGCGGCTAGAGCTCCGCAATTATGGCAATGTGTTGATAGAAAGTGAGTCTGTGCAAAAAAATAAATGTACCATGAAGCATCTGTTTGGTGGAAATTAATGAAATTCAAGAAAATGCAGTGGCTTAAGCTATCTACAGTGTATCTCAATTTTTTTTAATCATCAATTTGATGAACCTTCTGATAACCTGAATGAAGGTCAATCCCCTTAGATTTGCTTCACTGTAATTTTACCCCAGATATATCAAATTACCAATCTCAGGGTTAAAACTTGGCAGTCGCACGGTCGCC